TTTAGTATAAAAAATATTTACCAAAACTTTTCAAAGAAATTGCAAAGATGCACAATTTACTGCATTGCATTCTCTGACAATTTTTGAACCTTTGCAGATCGATTTATAACTCGACAAAATATTCTACGCGTAGACAGAAGAGTGTAATTATAGAGTGTAATATAAGTTTTATTAAAATCTATTCACTTTTTAGCTATAGTATTTTCTCGAAAAATGAATAATATGTCCAGTTATATCGTACATATATAACAGAGACACTCATACAAAAGCTTATCGATCGACCCAATTGGACCGTCAACTAACTGACAAACGACTTTTTTTTTTTTTTTTCTTTCAGACTGGAGCCAAACCTTAACATCGTTCATATACATACATATATATATATATATAATTCGTTAATAATAATTTATTCAAAGAGATAATAGCAACCATTCATTATGATTATTATTAAACTCATACGAAATCAAATCAAATCAAATCAAAAATACAAAAGAAAAGTAATTAATACATTTTCTTATTTTATCTGACTACTCTTACATTTATTTCAATAATTTCTTTCTTAAATGAAATTAAATAAAAAGAAGAAAAAATAAACGCGGGATGTAATATAAAAGACACGTGTAATTATAAAAGATAAAATTATATTTGTGAAAACGTACGCGTATATCGTTTGATACAAATCAAACAATTGCGTAATTTTTGTCATTTAATTTGTATTACTTTTATCTCTTTTTATAATTATGATGATTATGATGATGATGATGATGATGATGATGATGATGATCAACGAACACTTTACGAAATCTTTTCTCTTAAATAGATCTTTATTTTCTTATGTGTTAACCATGCAATGGTATTGGATGATGGAACACACATTTGGTAAAAGAAACATATTCGAGAAAAAGAGAGAGAAAGAGAAAGAGAGAGAGAGAGAGAGAGAGCATGATTCGACTAAGAAGATAGGAAAGGAGATAGCCTTGAACTGATGTTGCTCGCTTACGTCACCGTTTTAACCATTAGCGGCGTTACCACATATTGAAGGTGGTGGAGGAGGTGGTGAAGGAAAAGGGGGAGGAGGTTTATATAGTACGTCTGTCTGTCTGTCTGCCTGTTTGTTTGTTTGTTTGTCTATGTTTTCTTAAATTGACCCCATAGAGAAGAACACATAGGATTGAAATCGTAAAACAATAGAATACAAAATAATAACTTTTTTATACACGAACACGTGTATATTAATAATTTGACAACACTTTATTACACGTGTTTTATTATTTAACAACGTGCGAGATGATTGGTTAATTTGTTAAATTAAATTCGCACGATCTTTGATCGAGTTATATCTTTCGTTAAATGAAATTATTATTCTATATGTGTGTGTGATGGGGTTTAAATAAAATAAAATAAACAAAAATACTAGGTAAAAAGATGTGTGTATATGTTAATGTGAAAGATCGAAATTGGTAAATGTCAAGATATTTCACACGTGGCCATTTTTTGGTGTATGTTTTATATAATTATTTATTTAAATAAAAATAAAAATATATAAATATTCGATCTGTTTATTTGATATGTGTATTTGATATTTCATCATGTGAATTTTGATATTCTTTAATTTATGTTACCGTGGAAGACAGAAATTGGATAATGTCAACATTCACATGGTATATATATATGTGTGTGCGCGTATGTTTTACCTGTTTCGAAGGTTGGATTTATAAATTATGCATTGATGAATAACACAAAAAAAAACACGAAAGATGAGAATAAGTATGAATAAAGAATTACGTAAGGTTATTGTTACGCATGAAATCTGAGTAAAATCTCTTGTATAATATGTGTGTGTGCGTGCGTGCGTGTGTTTGTGATCATTCGATGATAATAATAAAATTTATTTAAAATATTAGAAGAATCAATTTTAATTTTAATTGTGTAAAGTTTTGTTAATTTCCATGCGTGGAACGTTGTTTTGATTTTTATTATTAAGAATCTATTTTTTTTTTATTGTTATATATATATAGCATAGTAATTAATAATTAATAAATATTTATTTGATTGTGAAAAATAAATACGAGAATTTTGATATACTTTATATGACGTAATTATATAATTACAATTAAATATTTGAACTCCTCTCATATATGATACGTAGAATCAATGACATATTATTCTACATCTATAAATAAACTATAAATAAACAATATCGTTTACGATCTATTACAAAATTACTTGATCATTAAAAACAAAGTAATTAAATTCACCAATTAAAAGAGAATAATAAATGACAACTCATCGATGAATAATGATCTTCAAAATAAATGAGAATACAATGTAAAACGTGCTTCATTAATTCCCAATAATAATAATAATAATAATAATAATAATACAAAACAAAAAACATTTTTAATTATCTACATTCTTACATTATCAAATTGTAATCAAATTTAACTTACTAAAAAGGTAAGAAATTTCTTTGATACGATCAAACCTTATCAAAGAAGATTATTCGTGATAAATAAAAATTGCGTACATTGTATGTAAGAGTGCACTGATAAATACTCATAAAATTGATAAATCCGAATATATATATATATATAATCAATGATTAAAAATATTAATCAATTTAAGAAGAATTTTTTTATATCATCCAATAAAAGTTTAATAACAACGTATCGGTAATAAAACCAAACGAATAATATCTTTACTTTGATACGACGGATCAACAAAAAAACAAGAAAAAAAAAATATACAACTAACGAAAATGGAAAGATATTTTTACGAATAAGGACTCGAACCTATTTACAAGTACATATATGTATATATATATATATATATATGTATGTATATATATATATATATATATATCACCATTTGCCAACCTTGTAATCAATGCGAGCTTGCACATTCTTACGAAACATTTTCTACGTTCAGTTGAAATAGATAGAACGTTCCCATGTTTGAAATGACAGAGAGAGAGTAAGCCAAAAAAAGAAGAAAGAAAGAAAAGAAGGATTGATTTGTCATTGGTAAATTAAATGAAAAAAAAAAAAAAAAAATTGTAAAAAGGATTCGTAAAAAATAAATCCTCCTACGTTAGAAAGATGATGATTCCTTGATATTACACCCACGTGTAAATAAATATATATGAGATACAAAGAAAGGAATATAAGAAGATAAAACATTTCTGTGCATGAAAGGTAAGTACAAAAAAAATAAGAAAAAGGAAAAAGGACGACGAATGAGAATGATACCTTTGATTTGTGCGATATGCGCATCGTATTGGTTCCTGGTACTACGTAGGTGTTCCATTTTGGCAGCTACATTCTGGAAACTCTGATTACGATATTCCGCGTACCAAACAGATGGTGGTTTATCATCGTCAGTTGTAAATTGTTGTTGAACAATATTGCTGCCCCTTCTTTGAAATACATTTTCTTCGGATGGAAATTTAGTAATGAACGATGAAGTTACCGAGCTCGATTTGCTACCACCACTACCATGACTTTGTGCACCATGGCTGTGACTTTGATAAGCCGAATCTTCTAGGGCGTGTTCCTCGCTCGGTGTCCTGCTCATTTCGGTTATTTCGATTGGATAATTACTAGTAATGGTAACATTATTCGAATCATTAATAATTCCACCATTACCACCACCACCACCACCACCACCACCACTCGATGTAACGATTTCTCTGCTACTTTTTTTAACCACGACCTTTTCGAATTTAACTATTTTAGCCCCGTTAAGATCGCATTCTTCTACGAGCCTTTCGAAACTTTCCTCGAATGAAGAATCACTGGCTCTAGATGATGGTCTATTAGATTGTTGATAAGTAGAACGAAATGTACGAGTACGTGAAGATGAGGAATCAATCTCATCCGTAGGTTCGTCTACTAGGCTCGTTGGTGAACCTCGACCAACACCACCAACACCACCACCATTACCATTACCACCAACACCGGTCCATACTTGTTCGAAAAAGTTCACCCTATCTCTGAGTCTACCGCCACGTGGTGTTCTAGGACTATCCTGACGACTACCAGGATTACTACCATCCTCCCTAGTTGGTGTTGATCGTTGCGACATTATTATTATTATTATTATTATTCAATTATGATTAAACCAACATTATCCCATTGGAAACTTGACTTCTAGTTCTAACGATAGTACACACCGGTGGTTCTTACGGATTTGTATTCTTCATTATAATTCTAATTGAAACCTCACTTAAGTTCGAGTTATTTCAACAGGAAGGCTCCCCGATAATCGAATCGGTAGACACCTGTCTTTTCTGTTCTTTTTTTTTTTTTTGGTTGTTTTTCAATGGTGTACCACACCCCACGCACTAATACGTAGACAAGAATAACAGAGACAGACAGATAGTACGAGTAGTAACAGCAGACAAAGAAAATATTCTCTTCACGGCCGGTTGACACCGCACCCTCTCGACACAACCTCCTCCTCCTTCTCCTCCTCCTTCTCCTCCTCTTCTTCCTCCTCCTCGTTCAGTTGTCCGCATCGATAGAGGGACAGCTGCTGTTAATGCTGTTGATGTTACTGTTACTGTTTAGTTCATATTAACTTTTAACTGTTAAATGTTAGACTATGTTCACATCAAACCCGGCTACATTTTCCTCACTTAATAATGGTGTCTCTGTTTCTCTATCTATCTATCTATCTCTTTCTATCTTTTTGGTACAATTGTATATACCTCTATACACACGTATATTAGTCCGGCTTTTATGTACTCTCTGGAGATGGCACGTAACCTATGTAAATGTCGCGCGTGCGTGTCTGAGTTTATGGAATGTATGTTGAATATATTATATATATATATATGTGTATATATGTTAGTATATATATATATATATAAAGGAACGTGCAGTTTATGCCCGCGCACGACGAACGTCGGTTCGATACTGGAGGCCACTCGTTCGTCGAACGATGTTAGGCTCCTTGAATCCCACCGTTTGCGTTCTCCGTTACTACCACTACTATAAAACACAACTACTAAGAAAATGACGACAACGACGACGATGGTAAATAATTGCAGTTGCAACAATAATTATTAAGATTAATTAAGAAGAAGCCAAAATAATCAAGAAAAATTATCAGGTGGACATATATTAAATGTAACTTATTGTTAAATGATTAGGATTAACTTAGTTATTCAGTATTATTCAGTAATAATGTAAACGACGACAGCGTCGGCGTCGGAACCGGCATTTCCCCTTCCTCCACCCACACCCACCCAACCCCCTTTACGTTTCCTGCATGAAACCTTCCCGATCAATCCTTTTATCCTTACGCTTTCTTGCCCCTTCTCTCTATTTCTCTTTTTCTCTTTTTCTTTTTATTATCAGATTTATATTACTTTTTGTATTATTTTTTTCTTCTTTAGTTTTAATTAAACCGAATTAGATTGTGATGATCATTTTATATTGTTAATATTTCTAAAGTAAGTTTGACAAAAATAATTCGTTATGCAGTTTTGATGCAATAATATGCACGAATTTTTGGTTCATCTTAATGTTAGTCTCTTATGTAATTAAAAAGTCTAACTATTTTTTATTTATGTTAACTACTTTGTTCTTTTTTCTTTCTTTCTAGTATCAGCCATACTTTTTGTTTTATTTTTCTTCTTTAATTTCGATTAAATCGAATTAGATTGAT